CCACAGGAGATCTCTGAAGACCCTCCCAGCAGTCACCACGCCATGAATCAGTTTAATCTATCCTCTTACTGCCACCACCTTCTCTCAGTGCCATTTCCCCCCCCCCCTCTATAATCAGTCTGCAGAGTGAGTGAACGCAGGAATGTGGGCAAAATGTAAATAGATGTTCTCATTATCACTCCCTTCCAGCCCTGTTCCTTCATCTTTTGTTTCCTCTACTAAACTCTGCTGGCTGCAAGACCCCAAATACCAGAGACAAGGTCAGATACCCAATTAATTTAGTTAAACTGTCCAGTGTTGTTCTTTCTGCAGGGTGGATTCCGAACATGATGGCATGGTTATCAAGCACGTGACCAAATGGCATTTTGATTCAGTTATGTCAGCCATGTGAAGGCTCACAAAGGGAATGAGAGCACAACTGAGTTAAACGTTTTTGTGAGGAGGGCCTCTGATATGGCTTAATTGTGGTAAGAGGTTTAGGAAAGAATGCCAATCTTCATGCCAGTTCATCAACATGTTTAACTGCAAAAACCAAACTGGTTTCTAGTAGATCGGAGAAATATCGGCGTCCAAGTGCGTGATTTTACATTGCATTATGGTATGTAGAAGCACGAGAAACCGTCCCTGGTAAGCCTCTGTTACTACCGCCGATGGTGGATTAGGGCGACGACTTTGCCCCACCTTTGCACGCCTGAGTGTTCCACATCGAAAGCCTAAAAGGGGCATTAAACACCCACCCCGAACTGGCAATACCTAAGCTGTTTGTTTAGCTACCTAAGAAACTACAAAAAAAAAGAAGACCTGGCAGGCTCAGTGGAATTCACAAGAAGTAAACCAGAAAAAAAGTAGGCCTCATTACCTGAAAGCCTGTCAAAAAACACATTTTAATCCTGACGAACTATTTTCAACATGTCTTATCAAATCAGCCAAAATGGACTCTTGCTGCAGGAAACCAAAGCAGCCACAGCTGACAATCTGGGAGACAGGGCCCCTGGTACCGCACAGCTCAGCTGAGGACATAACTGCACGCAAAGCAAGCACCGCACACATGCACGTCCACCCAAACCCACACACAAACAGGCTGGTGGCAGACAACAGTCACCCTGTCATCTTCGATTGCAGGCCGCTCATGTTGGACTAGCGACACCTCACACACTGCTCAGTGGGCCACGGCCCCCCTGGTGTCCTACTGCCGCCACAGAGGGACTGCCAGAGAGTTACTTCAGCTCTGCAGAACAAACACAGAATTCAGCCTGTCTAGAAAGCATGTAGTCATGTAAAAAAATAAAAGTCTTAATGAAACGCAGAGCCAGGGTCTTTAATTAGGTCTTGTAACTGACAGATATCAATTGAGTGAATGCAGATTTATCTGAGCAAGCTGATATGACCTTGGGAGAGTTTTTAAGCAGACAGCAAGGTTGAAAGTTTGTGTCCACAAATCAGGTCACGGTTGCAAATTTGACTCTGCTACTAACAAGAGGTCACCTATAAATAACCTACAACTGCAAACATGAGACAGGCTCCACATTTAGAACAAAGTTAGAGTTCTTTTCATCTCAAGTATTTGTTTGAAATTAAACATTTAAAAGAATAATTTAGAGCCGAAGTGGCGAGCGTGTTGACAAACAACATCTTGGGCTCCAGATGATGCAGCAGCCTGCAGGATAACATGTGTCTGGCAGATGGCACAGAGGAGATGGCACATAAGGTCAGAGAGAGCACTCAGCTGTATATCTCTCACACATACAGGCCCTCCAGGAATGTCCACATAAGGCCAAGGATTATGGCACCCAAACACTGTTTATGTGTAGGTGCTTCTGTGTGTGTGTGTGTGTGTGTGTGTGTGTGTGTGTGTGTTTGTACTTGCTGATAAAGAGCAGACCATTGTAAAATTGTCAAAACTCGTTGAGCATAGATGTACACAAGACAGGACACGACTGAAAACGATAAGAGAGAATGTGAAACAACATACACAAAGGCGTTGTATTCGCTCCTTCCTGATTTTCAACCTAGAAAGACCATTCCAAGAATATATTGAAGTGGAAATGTACTAACAACTACATTCAAATGGCATGCAGGACACAAATTACCTTCCAACTTTGATGTGTGTTGTCCCAACTGAACATACTAACAAAATGAGCATTAGCTTGCTTATATGGGACATGAGTTAGTTTTTCATACAGCTGGCACCTCTCCAGCTTTGATCTGCACCGGGACTTGAACCAGCAACCATCCGGTTACCACCCCAGGTCCCTACAGACTGAGCTACTGCCCCCCCCTCCCCTATATAAATCAAACAAAAGCATTTTCAAAGCATGTGTGGTGAAGCTGAATTTAACTGTGAGCAAGTCTAAAATGACTCATTTTTGAACATACGTTACATGAAATATATTTTACATGTATGCTCTAGCTGACGTTTTCTAGTCATCAAATCTTAATTTAGTATTTAAAAGTGGAGACCTTCTCGTGTCTACACTCAACATTGGTAAAACTTTTCTTCTTAGTTCTTGAGTCGTTGAAAGACAGGAAACATGGGAATAGAGAGTTATATGACATGCAACAAAGGACTTAACTTAACCTTAACTTTTCTGCTCCTGGCAATCCCCACATCAACGGTGTAATGGATCATGAGTACCTTGTGTCACTTGTCGAGAACAACAAAGGAGCACAAACTTGCCCCTTGACTTTAAACCACAACAACAAAGTTATAGCCGCAAAGGGCAGCGCCCCCTTTTGGAATTGTTTATAGTCAACGCACTACCAATTTTTACTACTTCTGCTGTTGTACAGTAAACGCATTAAGGGATTAAATTACATCTGTTCTTAGATTTGTAACAGAAAGTAATTTATCTTGGTGCCATCTGTGTTCTTTCATCAAGTCATTGTCATACATTCATTTAACACGGAGACTAACTAAATGTTTTAATCAATGGCGGATGTCCTTCTATACTGATTTACAGCTCTACATGTTTCGTTGCACTCCTGACACCAAAACAAATAATTAAACACATCATCAGCAACAAATAAAGAAAGAAATGCAAAAAGAGGGAACAAGTCATCAGAAGTCACAAACTTGTAAATTAAACCCAGTGTCAACACCTCTTCTAACATAAAAAAACATTTATTTGGATCATCGTTTTTACAAACTGTATTTTTCCTATCGCTTCACTCATCACTGCAGCCTTAATCCTCCACATCTTCCCTTCATAGATCATGGGCAGAGGGGGTGTGGAGAGGATTTCCTTTGGCTGTTGATCCTTATCATTTGCTCTGGTCTACCTGGCGTAAAACCTCCATGACAGTGCAGATAACTCAGCGTGAAATTCCCACAGGCACTCACACTGGAGTCACCACACATTTCTGTGCACGTTGTGTGTGTGTGTGTGTGTGTGTGTGTGTGTGTGTGTGTACAACAACAAAGACTCGCTCCAGGAAAGGTTGTTATCGCTTCTAAGACAAGGAATCCCCTTGCTCCGTCTAATCAGATTTACAGAGAGTAATGACACAGACAAAACTGAGGGTGTGTTTGAGTGTATTGGTGCCAACACACATGGTACATGAAAACGTGTACCTAACAAGCGAGACATGATGCTTGAGGGAACATTTTTCTTTTGACTCACAGGTAACTCTTCGGCGCTTATAAGTATGTCAACAACAGTCCCATCCTCACAACCGCCAATGTCCATCATCGACATTGTGTGACCCCCTCAGGCCTACAAGTGTTGGGGTCTGGGGGCTTCTGAGAGTGACCCCTTATTGTTAGGTGCTCCCTTTGTGGTCGTGCTCCTCACTGTACTGAGAACAGAAAAAGAAAGGCCTTCTCTAACAGTCGGTCATGCCCCAGTGCTCCTGGCAACAACAGGTCCCGACGACGCAGACCTGCCTGCCCTATATTGGCTTGGCTCTCAGCTAGCGGTGGCGACACTAGCCCCCTGTCAGCTGTCCCATTCAGGGCCCTGGCCGGCGCTTTATTAAAGCTTTGAAGACTGCTGAATAAAGGGGCGTCCTATGTTTAGATGATAGAATGTAAGCAACTGGTTTTCTGCTTGGGCAACACAAGACAAAGAGCCTCCTTCTGAATACGGGGAGCATGTGAGAGAGGACTGAGTGAGAAAACTAGAGAGGGAGGGAGAGAGAAAGAGAGGGGCAGGCCACAAGTGGTGGAGGTACTCTTTTAGATTTGAGGATGGTGATAACTTTGATGGATTGATAATGATAAATAAGTGGTGTCTGCCTGTGGTTGGAACATGATAAACACCGAGTGATTATTATCACAGGAGCTCCTGATGCCTCGGTGATTAATAATAAAAAGGTACAGAGCCGAGGCTCCTCTGTTAATTGGAGGATGACACCCCTGCGACAGTCTTCTTACTATATGCCCTATATAGTGCACCATACAGTATACACTACATGCTACTCTTCAGTGAACCAGGATAAAGAAAACCTAGAGACTAAAGCCCGTCTGATATTCAACGCCGTCACTGGGTCATCTGATATATAAGGGGATAACTATTTAATGCATTACTGCCACCTTTGATAAGACAGTTACTACACAATGCAATCGACAACATATTTCTTATTAAATGCTTATATTTTGTTTTTCGGGAAGGATCCCCATCTTGTCCATGTGTGTGAGTGGTGGAAAGTGCTGTGCATCAATACATCATTCAATAAATGACCTAACTTGTAAAGTGGTTTAAAGGGTGACTATTTTTCATGCAACTTTGTAACACGCAACAGAAACAAAACTCAAAACTGTTTCTGTTTCTGCAGCCAGCTTCATGCAATGGTCATCAAAATGAAGTTATTCCTGCTAATGCTGAGAAAAGCTTAGTTAAATCAGTCCGCCCTAGCCCCTGCTTTTGATATCCAATGAAATATATAGTCTTTGATCTTTGAGTGCTGTTTTCTGAACGTTATAGTGCATTTAAAAGGTGTGACAATCACCCCCCTCCTAATGGATATACATAAATATCAGACACACATGCACACACATATACCTGGTCATGGCTGGCTTGGAGGGTGCTCCCGGTGCCGTGGAAAGTCATTTGCACAGGGGAGAGGGTCAGGTAGGTCACGTAATCCTTGCCGCTCTGTACATCGCTGTACTGCACCTGGAGGAGAGGGCAAAGGTGGGAAAATGGAGTTACCACAAAAGTAAACACCGGAGAAGATCAGTCAAAGCACAGAAGACAAGCTAACTGCAACATCTCCAGTTTTCAGCGGGAAGTGGATGGCTGGAGAGTAAATCTTGCATGTCTAATTGCCACCACAGAGCATTTGTGGACAATTACCCACACCACACGGAGATGGCAATCGAGGGGGATGGACGTAAGGATGGTTATGTGCATTTAAAGGGGGGCATTTGAAGGGGTGCTGATGACATCACTGGGCGACCCCTCATCACTGAGAGGTTAACACTGCAGGCATTTCTAAATGCTGTGCAATCAGGGCTGTTATGACATGATGCTCCTCTGAGACAGGCTGCTCCTCTTATCCAAGGGCTCTGGTAAAGCTGGCCGCTCGTCTGCCCTACTTCTCACTGGCTTTCAGTCGGTGTGTACGTGTGTGTATTCGCATGTGTACGTATGAGTGCGCATGCATGTGTTGGCCTGGCCTATTTATGCCCTTCACAGCTGCAGGCATGTTCATGAATGGCACAAATAAACTGCCATTCAAAACAAAGATTGATGTCTAACAGCGTGTATCACAAAGATGCGTTGAACTTGTGTTCATGTCCCTATCTGTTGAATATACAGTGGGTACGGAAAGTATTCAGACCCCTTTACATTTTTCACTCTTTGTTTCATTGCAGCCATTTGCTAAAATCAAAAAAGTTCATTTTATTTCTCATTAATGTACACTCAGCACCCCATCTTGACAGAAAAAAAACAGAAATGTAGAAATTTTTGCAAATTTATTAAAAAAGAAAAACTGAAATATCACATGGTCATAAGTATTCAAGACCCTTTGCTGTGACACTCATATTTAACTCACATGCTGTCCATTTCTTCTGATCCTCCTTGAGATGGTTCTGCTCCTTCATTGGAGTCCAGCTGTGTTTAATTAAACTGATTGGACTTGATTAGGAAAGGCACACACCTGTCTATATAAGACCTTACAAGCTCACAGTGCATGTCAGAGCAAATGAGAATCATGAGGTTGAAGGAACTCCCCAAAGAGCTCAGAGACAGAATTGTGGCAAGGCACAGATCTGGCCAAGGTTACAAAAGAATTTCTGCAGCACTCAAGGTTCCTAAGAGCACAGTGGCCTCCATAATCCTTAAATGGAAGAAGTTTGGACGACCAGAACTCTTCCTAGACCTGGCCGTCCAGCCAAACTGAGCAATCGTGGGAGAAGAGCCTTGGTGAGAGAGGTAAAGAAGAACCCAAAGATCACTGTGGCTGAGCTCCAGAGATGCAGTAGGGAGATGGGAGAAAGTTCCACAAAGTCAACTATCACTGCAGCCCTCCACCAGTCGGGGCTTTATGGCAGAGTGGCCCGACGGAAGCCTCTCCTCAGTGCAAGACATATGAAAGCCTGCATAGAGTTTGCCAAAAAACACATGATGGACTCCCAGACTATGAGAAAGAAGATTCTCTGGTCTGATGAGACCAAGATTGAACTTTAATTTAATTTAATTCTAAGCGGTATGTGTGGAGAAAACCAGGCACTGCTCATCACCTGCCCAATACAATCCCAACAGTGAAACATGGTGGTGGCAGCATCATGCTATGGGGGTGTTTTTCAGCTGCAATTGAAGGAAAGATGAATGCGGCCAAGTACAGAGATATCCTGGAAGAAAACCTCTTCCAGAGTGCTCAGGACCTCAGACTGGGCCGAAGGTTCACCTTCCAACAAGACAATGACCCTAAGCACACAGCTAAAATAACAAAAGGAGTGGCTTCGGAACAACTCTGTGACCATTCTTGAATGGCTCAGCCAGAGCCCTGACCTAAACCCAATTGAGCATCTGTGGAGAGACCTGAAAATGGCTGTCCACCAATGTTCATCATCCAACCTGACAGAACTGGAGAGGATCTGCAAGGAAGAATGGCAGAGGATCCCCAAATCCAGGTGTGAAAAACTTGTTGCATCATTCCCAAGAAGACTCATGGCTGTACTAGCTCAAAAGGGTGCTTCTACTCAATACTGAGCAAAGGGTCTGAATACTTATGACCATGTGATATTTCAGTTTTTATTTTTTAATAAATTTGCAAAAATTTCTACATTTGTTTTTTTTTGTGTCAAGATGGGGTGCTGAGTGTACATTAATGAGAAATAAAATGAACTTTTTTGATTTTAGCAAATGGCTGCAATGAAACAAAGAGTGAAAAATGTAAAGGGGTCTGAATACTTTCCGTACCCACTGTATATATATATATATACAATGTGGGTGTTGGTTTGTCTCTGTTTATTTATGTTGGCTAGGCAGTTTTATTCTGTTACATTCTTTTAATCAGCAACAAATATGCTTCACACCACAAAATGTGTGTGTCTCTGTATGTGATTACCTCACAGGATAGAATTTTTACATTTTTTACATTATGCAGCACAGAATTTCTTGTGTGTGTGCACATGCCTGCACACTGAAATACAAGCAGATGTATATGATCTGTGACTGAAAGCTTCCAGAGCAAGGTGTCTGTCTCTGTGTGTGTGTGTGTGTCTGAATGAGTTATGATCATGTGTGTGTATGTGAGCTCCAGCCGGCCAGACATATCGCTGACTGCCGATTAAAAAACAGCCCCTTCCTAACATACGCAAAACACAGAGAGATATGAACACATGCATGCAGATATATGTGCACATGTGGACATGCATGTGCACACACACCTGCTGCTGAGGAGATGGGTCCAGAGTGATAAATTGTAGAATGCTATCTGTTATGTGTATGAATGATGAATGTAGTAAAGTGAGCCGTGGAAAGAGCCTTCTCTGACAAGTTAATCTCTAATAAATTCTCCAGACTTCAACATTAGGGAGAAAAAGAAAGAAAAAGAAAGAGAGAAAAGTCAAATGGGGGGGTCTTTTAAAGGGGTGAGGAGTATCATTGTTTCGTAAAAGGAACTTATATCAGATGTTTGAAAAGCAGAAAAGTAGCTTGAAATACAACTAAGCACAGAACTGTGTTTGTGGTCTAGGTGCTGCACACAAAGATATACATTTGTGAGTTTTTTTTTTTTGATTGTGCAGAATGCTGGTTCATTTAGGCAGAGCAGAGGCCTGTGGTTTGGAGCCTGTGATGTACATTGTGGAATCATGTTTCTGATCGGAGGGCAGTCTGTTTGGTTCATCTATCGCGAGCTGTCAGACTCCAGCTGACGGTGAGGCTGGAGGAAACAGACACTTAGTCTCTCAATGCAAACAGATATACGTCTGGGTTTCTCAAATTACCCACTTTCAACGAGTGTATTAGCACAAGTGTGTTTACTAAGATGATGAAAACTTCTAAACTAGATTTTTTGGGCCATTATGGCTTCATTGGATAGGACAGCTGAAGAGAGACTGGACGTATTAGGAGCAGAGTGGGCAGTGACATACAGCAAAGGGCTGAGGATAAATTCAAACCCCTGGCTGCTGAAACAAGGACTATAGCCTCTGTACATGGGGCACGGTACATAACTGGCAGGACATACGATGCCTCTAACAAAGCATTTTTGATCATGGAGTCTAAGAGGAACCTTAGAGAAGGTATATCTTGGGCAAAACCCAATTAAAGTTGTTTTTAATTTTCAAACATGATGTAAATCCATTATTAATGAATTGTAGTGTTATATTTGATACCAGACATGTCTTGACAAAGCTTATGGAAATATATTTTGAAATATATCTTCGAAGTAGAATAATAGAGAATATATAAGAATAAAAACATCTGTTTACTGTGAAAAACGAGGAAAGGGATTATTTTCTAAATGTCCTCCTGAGATTTCCTAATTTTTTTGCGATGGTTCATAAAGTCTGTCCACATATCTGTCAGGACTGATAAATCTCAATAATTAATTGATGGATTGCAATGACTTTAGGAAGACTCATTTAATATTTATTTGGGTCAAGTGATCCTAATGAAAGTTGGCGATGATGCGACTGTTCCTCTGACTGAAATTTACAATATTGGTTTCGTCCATCAGCTATAACCTTACTGCCATCATCAAGTCAATGTTCTGTTTTTATGTGTTTGTAACCTCTGCAAACCTTCATTTTCAACAGCACCGTTGTGCTGCTTAGAAGATGTTGGCATGCTATTATGGGAGACTAAACTGGTGAACATGATAACACCAACAAGTAAGTTAAAAGCATGAGGTGCAAGACCACATGTTGACAGAGCCACTAGCATGGCTCTAAACTCGAAACTGAAGATGCAAGCTTTGGCGTGTTGTTCTTTATCTTTATTGTTCTTTCCTCAAAAGCTTGTTTATGCTCTCCAAACAGACTGTTCTTCTTGCATACACCAAAACCTGCTGAAACGTGATTGGCCAATAACACTAGGACAACAAACGAAACCAGAACAATTCACATATCAAACTCCAGTCCCGAGTGTACAGGTTCTATGTTATTTTATGTAGATTCTGTTAATAGAGATTACTATTGTTCAAAGTTTTTCCTTTGAACTTCATCGTCCTCTTGAAGATGTTGAGCTGAATCTGGAAAACTACTGTTGTAGGTCTCTAATGTGAATTGACATATTGCATGCGGCTCATATAAACATGTCATGACTCCAGCCATTAGCCAAATTCTGGATCAAACAACAACAACGACAAATTTGGCCAATGATCAAATGTCACTTGGAGGTCTTACTTTGTTGGTGGCTTGTTGATGAAATAGTCAAAGTTCTGATTACTTAGGAGACTTTCCAGCAACTCTAACCTGGAGGCAGGAAAGACAGCTGCCTTGTGCATGAGCATCAAAGAACATTATGGCATCATCTCATTTGCCATGATTTGGCAGACACAGAAATAACAAGCATCTCAAAAACAAACTGTCTATTCTCCCATCCAGGCCGTCTTTTTTTTTTTTTTCAGCGCCTGTTTGTGTGCATCTGTGAGCGCATGCATTCTAAACAGGCCTAACTAATCATCCCAGGTCCCCGCTCAGAAAACAGCCTCTAATCCA